ATTAATTCATATCTCAATAACTTTTGCAAAATGGTTACTAACTTTTCTGTTCGGATTGACCCGATCTACCTACACACTTCGGTGGATTCATTTGTTATCAGACATCTTGTAAATATATATATATATTGTGACGTGGTAATCGCGTCGCTCTTCCCTCGCCACAAAAGCTTGAATAATCGCGGGAGTCCGAGAGTGCGAGCCGTCTAAGAAGCGCCAAGATCCTCCAGGGCTTGCTTGCGTGCGCTACATTTAGTCGCTTATTTTGTTATTTTTTTGTATGCTCTTGGCGCCTCATCACACCGAGGACACACTACTAGAGGAGTTATCCGGAGTCGTCGATTGTTGGATAAAGGCGAGAGAAAGCGGAAGAGAGGGGCATGCGTGGAGTCGCAGCTAGGCACTCGCACGATGGCCAGAGGGGTGAGTCTCAAAGAACAAGCGGCGCGGGAGAGGACTCCGACGAATACAGTGAACCTCGACGCTGTGTAGCCGAGGAAGAAATACAAACACACACAACGATGGAGACAGCTTTGACCTTCCTTTCGTCGCCAGAAAAGCCTGCTGCAAACTTTCGCTGCTAACTTGCAGCTGCTATCCTGCTGCGCTACCGCATGCTGCATCTTTGTTATATCTGCAAAATCCAATGCTTGGAAATATCTGCTGCTTGCATTTTTGCTAGTGAAGACCCGGTAATCTATTTGAATTTCGCGGCCGCGGGTCCTGCCGCCGAGCGCGAGCATCGCGTCGCGTGTAGTGCCCCTCGCGACCTGATTGGCCGCAGCGACCTACCCTACGCGACCCTAGCGCGCTCAGACGCATCGACCCCGAATCGATCGCGATCCTCGTTCCCTTGGTCGCAACCACCGTGGACGACGGACGCACTGACGGCACTCCTGACGATCCAGCGTTTAACGACGAACTTAGCGAATTTTCTGGATGGAGAGCGACGACGACATACGGTGAGGTGCCCTCGTTTAATTGTGAGCCACGAATCCGCGTTACTCGAGTCTCGTGTCGAGGCTAGTCGCTGAATCTCGCGTGTTGATACCCGGCAAGGACATAATCTTCGCCATAGTTTCGAATTTTCGGCAGCGGCTAGAATCGGACTTCACAGGGCTTTGTGGTATCAATTCGTAGGCTTAGTGCGTCTCGCGTAATTACTTTATTGAGTATTACAAGCCCTGGAGTTCCGGTAACGCGCCAAGCAGCATCCTGGTCATTTTGTTGTGTTTCGGGTGTAAAAGTGTTTGTCTATCGTATCGTTTCGCGACCGCCATATTCCGTACCGGGTATCGTACCAAATATCGTACCGAATATCATACCGATTATCGCACCAAATATCGTACCAAACATCGTACCGATTACCGTACCAAATATCGTACCGGATATCAAACTAATTATTGTACCATCAACCTAACGCCATCGTACCGACCTATCGTACCGTTACCTGACAATCTAGCGGATCTATCGTTCGTTTAAGTAAGTCGCTAATTGCGACATTGCACGCTACTTTACCGTACCGCTATCACATTGTATGAAGCATGTTGGTGTGGATTTTCCGAGTAATCTGCTTCGAGTGAAGAGGGTGCGATTCGGAAGAACAACAAGAAAGAATATTTGCGTCCGTCTTGTGTGCGTGTGAGTTATCTTCGAGCGAACTTCTTGCGACGGGCATCGTTCAGCTAGTCATGAGCGTACCTTGAATACGCCGTTGCGTTCGCTAGCGTATGCTCGGCCCTTGGAATTCGCCTGGGATTTATTGTACCGTCTCGATCCCGGCCGCCTTGAACGGCGAGCCGATTAGCATACCGAAAAGTAGAAGAATACCGCTGTTGTGCCGAACTGAAAAGGAATATCGTACCAAATCTGGGGATCTATCGGATCGGAGAGTGCATAGCTCTCGTTCCGTGTGGCGGACTCGCCGTTTTAAACAGACGAATTTTACAGTTATTTTCGGTTCTAAATTGAACTAGCTCTTCCAATTTCGCGAGCGCTTCACTCTGGTGTGCTAATTGGCACGTGCTTGCTGCATTATAACTGGCTGCTGAATTACATCGAGACCAGTGACGGGAATTCGGCGAGAGCTTCGCGCCGTGCATGCACGCGGCGTAAGCTCGACCAGCCCCTGCGAAATCAAGTAAGTCCGACGGCGTAGATATTACGCCTTGCGACCCGCCTTTGCACGCCTAGTTGTAAGCGCACGATTTTGTTAGAGTAACCTTTCTGGCTGATTTCATCCTCCTGAATGCTTGCATAACACGCTTGGTACTTGGTTTATTCTGCCACCCGAGAGTATCTAGTTGAAGTGAAGCTAGAGGGACGACGCTAGAGTTTTCGACCTTACGACTTCTATATCGAATTGGTTCCGCGATTAATTGCGTTCCTGCGAAGCAAATACCGTTATTTGTAGTATTAAATTCTTTTTATTATTTTTTTCTTTTATTTTTTATTTGTTATTTACTTGCGTGTGAACGCCGCATGGCTATGTAAACATTGTTAACTCTATTTTTGTATTCTTTTTTTCTTTTGTAAACGTGTTTCTTACTCCGCGGTATCATAATAAATTGTTAATTAATGTTCTGATCCAAAGTGTGGTTAATTCCGGATATAATTCGAGATTCGTTCGGGACAGTCTTGATTATCTATCGTACAAACCCAACCCCTCTCTGTTCAAATAAAGCTAGTCGGCCCGTTGTGTCAAGCGACGTGGTCACGCGTCTGGTGTCCAGAATTTTTACAAAGGATCCGTCGGCTCGACGCAGTGGTGTGCTCGTTTTACTATCCTTTTCTCTCCTGTTGATACAGACGTTTCCGATCTCGCGGACTTCCGTCCGTGTCCCGATTTCGTACTTCTGTTTCGGGCGGGGCGACGCGAGAAATTAGTAAGAACTCAGAAAAACGTCACAATATATATACTGTATATATGTTAGCGTCAAAGTCCGAAATCTCGGCAATCTTAGGATTGGCTAGTATTAAATATCCGAAATAACCAAGCGTTTTGGGCAAAGTCCAAAACAATCTTTTTTTTCGGTATTTGACTGTTATGTTTTTAGTCAATCTCAGGAGTAACCAACACGGCTGGTCAAAGTTAAAAACTCTGTGAAAACTTTGTTTTATTACTTCGAACTTTGACTAGTCAATCCCAGATAGGCACAAAATAAATGCTCCTCGTTCCTACATGCTTACAACACCAACAAAAATAACATGAAAGAATTAGTTTTGTTTTAATACTAGTCTATCTGATTGAGTCTGATTGACACATCTTCCGATTTATTTTGTGCCCATCTGGGATTGACTAGTTAAAGTTTGAAGTGATAAAACAAAGTTTTCACAGAGTTTTCAACTTTGACCAGCCGTGTTGGTTACTCCTCAGATTGACTAAAAACACAACAGTCAAAACCCGAAAAAAAAGACTGTTTTGGACTTTGCCTATAAACGTTTAGTTACTTCGGATATTGATTAGTCAATCCTAACTTAAAATGATTACACATACAAATTAATGTATAAAACTTTTATATTTTAACATTTTGTGTATCTTTACACCTTTACGAAGATAAATAAGTTGCTCTCTCGAGTTGCGGTATCAAATCATGTGGTAAGTGAGAGTCATTTCTCGAGTGCAAAGAGATAAATGTGTGTCAATGAGTGCGTGAGAAGCGATGGTCCTGACTGTATGCGTGTGTGATTGTCAGCTGATCGTGGAGAGCAGTGGCTTTTTATCCCTCAAGCGCTGCTCTCTTCTTTGCGTAGCGCCGAATATCGGCTGACCGCGAAATCAGCCGAGTCACACGTCGCGCTCGTTTGTTCACTCCGCTTCTTGTTGCTCTGACAGTCACACACTTACGCCTACAGAGTCAGGATTATCACTTCTCACGCGTTTATTGGTACACATTTATTACTTTGTATCTCTATATTAACTATTGCGAAGTTTGCAAAATAGCAAATAACTTTTCTATTCAGTTTGATTCAATCTATCTCCATACTTCGGCTGTGTCAAAATTTTATGGACACCCTGTATATACAAGTACGTTTAATTATTTATATATAGAACTTCAAAAAGAACTTCGATAAACTAAACAAGAACGCGTAAAAATTTATAGGTATGAGAAGAAATAAACAGTGAAGGTGGTAAATAATGTAAACATTTAAAAGAAACATTCACGTACTTTGTTCATGTTGTAAGCATGTAGGCAAGGAGGAGCTACACCCTCCCGCAGGGGGAGTGGCTCCGCGCCTTCCTTGAGAAAAAATACGGAACGACTTCTGATTACATGTCGCTTTATGTCAATAGTATGTACGTGGTTTTTAGCAACACTTTATCGGAAGTTATTCCCTATTTTTTCTCGAGGAACGCGCAGGAGGAAGGGCGGAGCCACTCCCCTGCAAAAGGGCGTAGCTCCCCCTGCCTACTATTGACAACTCACAAGAATTTGCTCTATCCACAAGCTAACAGACGCAAGGGGCAATGGGAATTGTCCGTCCGCTCTACCCAATCTCCTCTACTAGGTAGGTTCTGAGCATATTCCCACCGCCTTGACAAAACGGACGGATGATTCCCCTTGCCCCTTGCGTCTGTTAGCTTGTGGTTAGAGCAAATTCTTGTGAGCTGTCAATAGTACACGCTTATAACACAAACAAAATGTAAATGATGTCGGAAAATAAGAACTTATTTATAAACTCGGTTTTGTTTATAACTTTTTAAAAAACAACGACCGACAACTAAAACCTTGTGATTGTTACTCAGGGAGGTGTTCTTGACAACATACAATGTCAACCTTATTGAATTCGGAGAATGGGAGTTTTACAAAACCTTTTGTAAATATTTACCACAAATGTAAACACAAAATAAAGACACTAAAAAAATAAGTGTCAATTATTAGAAAGATGCTATCTACAGATTTGGTCATATATGTATAAATATGAAATACAAGAAATATGTAAAAGTTTTAACTGTATATTTAAGTTATAACTATATATTTAAAATATATAAAGCTTACAAATATATAAAGATATTTGTTTATTATATTGTTGGTCATATATATTAATTAGAAGAATTAGAAGAATTGTTATTGCGGAAATGGATATTATTTCAATTAATTACACCCATCAACAAGATTTTTATAGTTGCAACTATTAATTTGAGGATCAAAGGCTAGTCCATTTGGGCAATTGAATCTTTGTATTTGATAAACGCTATTAATATTTAAGCATTGATAGAATATGCCACAGTCTTCTTCATCACGAACGTAACCTTCCTTCTTGCAAATACTGGAAGGATGTTGCGGTTTCTCGTCCGGTTTTTCATTCGGTTTTTCATCTGGTTTAGGTTCTTCCTGAGATGAATCTATCTTAGGCGGAACGCTTCCTCTCAGTTCAGCATTTAGTGTTTTTAACAAAGGATATTTCTCACCACACTTGCCAAAAAAATCGTCTGTTTCAATACTCCATAGCATCGCACCACCAAGATTCAACTTCTTGATATAGTCTGTCTTCTCTTTTAGAGAGCTACACATATACAAAAAAAACCACATACACATATATTTATA